CCATCATGGTTGTGCGGACCATGGGTTTTTTTGGCAACACCAGCCCTTTAGCCAGTGGTTCCTTTCCTGAATCCTTTGTTCTCTTACAAGATGTTGCCCTTTCATTGACAGTACAGATGAAAAAAACTACCTGTGCACCTAGTTCTTGACTTTCTTGCCTAGCTGCTTATAATCACTCAATATTGTTTTCAAGTCCTTTTTGGTGTCATTCGTCCCTACATGTAATAGTAGAAAAGGGTAGTAATCTGAGCCTAATTATTTTGGTTAAGTTCTCAGCCACATCCTTGATTTTTGCTCCAGGGAGACAACATACCTCCCTAGATTGTATGTCCGGTCTACAGATGGCTGGTTCTGTTTCTTTGAGAATAGAATCTCCTATCACCAACACTCACCTTCCTTTTTAAGTGGGTGCAGTCTGGGATGCTTTTCTGTTTATCCCAGGTGAGTGTGTTGATGTGACTTTTTTTTAGGGATGATGTCTCTAAGTGTTTGTGTGTTTTCTTTTTTCTTTTTAAAACAAGTTTTATTGGTTTTTAAAGGCAAACAAAAACAAACAAAACATAAAACATCCAACTTTCTTTCATAAATGTACAAGCAGTGTGTCGGTTGGTTTACAAATTTTTTGTGCATCCATTTCATAGTCTCAATTACAGTTACATTGCATAATAACTCATATTATCAATCAAAAAATTGAATACCCTAGTATCACTATTAAACAATCATTTGACTATAATTTTGTTCATTCATACTTTGCGAGATAACTATGATTTACTTAGTTTATTTTATAACAATTCATATAATCCTCCCAAATCTATCCTAAAAACATTTTATAGATATGATAACAAAAAAAGAAATACATCTTTATATATTCATTATTTTCTAAAATTCTAGATATTCTATTATTGTATTTTATTATCTAACCATTGATAGAAAACGTCCCAAATTTTATAAAATTGTTTATCCTCTTGTTCTCTAATTTCAAATGTCAATCTACTCATTTCAGCACATTCCAATATTTTCTTAATAATTTCCTCCTGTAATGGTATTTTCTCATTTTTCCAATTTTTAGCAAATACAATCCTAGCCGCTGTTAATACATTTACAATAAAATATTTTAAATCTTTACTGTATGTATCAGGTAAAATTCCCAATAAAAAGATCTCTGGTTTCAAGTCTATATGTTTCTTTGTCATTTTTTCCAACCACATGCGAATTTTAGTCCAGTATTTTCTAGCGTCCTCACAGGTCCGCCACATATGGTAATATGAGCCAGGTTTCTGATGACATCTCCAACATTTTTCGGATTTATTCTTGAACATTCTTGCTATTCTTGTCGGGGGGAAATGCCACCTGTAAAACATCTTATACAAATTTTCTTTATATGCTGTTGACATTGTCATTTTATAATTTTGAGACCACAATTTTTGCCATTTCTCTAAATCAATCCCATATCCAAAATTCTTCCCCCAAGCAATCATAGTTTCTTTAACTTGTTCTTCCTCTAGTTTAGTTTCCAATAAATAACCATACAATTTTTTAATCACCTTTTCATCAGTACCTGTCAAAATAAGTCAGTCAATTTATCATAAAATCCTTCTGTTTTGAGATCTTCATCACACCTTGAATGTATTTGCGCATATGAAAACCAATTAATCTTTATACCTTGTTCCTCTAGATTTTGCATCGATTTAAATTCACCCTTTTCATCCAATATTTCCCCATATCTAACTGTTTGTTCCTTCTTATATATTATGGGATAGGAAAATGCTTCAATAGTTGATAACCAGACTGGAATTTTCAAATAACATTGTCTTTTAATCTTCTCCCAATTTAACCACAGAGACTCCCGTATATGATGTCTTCTAAAATAGCCCCGTGTTTTAGTTCCCTTATACCATAGAAAAGCATGCCACCCCAACAACAGATCATGTCCTTCTAATGTCAACAATCTAGTATTTCTTAATGTTATCCATTCCTTAGCCCACTTCAAGTTTGTAGCTCGGTAGTACAACTCCCAATTAGGCAAACCAAATCCTCCTCTAATTCTAGCATCTTGCAAGAGTTTTAACTTTATTCTCGCTTTCTTACCTTGCCATATATATTTCAACACAATTTTATTTAAATCTTCAAAGTAGTCCTTTCCAAGCCTAATTGGTATTGTTTGAAACAGGTATAAAATTCTGGGTAAGATATTCATCTTGATTGTTGAGATTCTCCCTATTAATGACAATTGTAGATTTTCCCATTTCGTTAAATCTAACGCTATCTGTTGTTTAAGTTTGATGTAATTGTTCTCTTTTAATGTACTACATCTTGCTGTCAAATGTATCCCCAAATACTTAACCTTGTTCGTGACTTGAATTTTCAATAGGTCTGCCAGTTCTTCTTTTTGTCTTAGTAGCATATTCTTTGTCAAGATCTTTGTTTTATCTTTATTTATTTTCAAACCAGCCACCTTACCATATGCCTCTAGTTTAATGTCTTTTTTCTGTGGCGTTTTCTGTAGTTCTTTTTCAAGTCTTTTATGCTCGTCTTCTAAAACTTCAGTGGCTTGCCTTTTCCTGATGTTCCTTTTCCTTGTATAGTCTATTATCAAGCCTCTGGCATATGTCTTTATTGTGTCCCAAACATTCTGAATTGAAGTATCTTCTTTTTTATTTTCTCTGAAGAAAAAAGCCAATTCTTTCTCCATCCACTGTGTGAAGTCTTTTTCCTTTAAAATAGTATTATTTAACGTCCATCTCGATCTTCTTTTTTGTCCTTTCCATTTAATTGTCACTGGATTGTGGTCTGCCCAAGTACTTGTTTCAATAGGGCGGAGCTGACGTCGCGATGATACGGCATGCAATCTCGGAAGTCTGAGATTGCAGCCAATATCTTTGCCTCTGGACGGTCCCAATGGACCTAAACCGTCCCGAAGAGACGGTGATAGTGAAGGGTGCATCCTGTAGATCCCAGGGATATCGCAAAGTCCCTGGTTGATCCAGGAGAAGCCCTTCTTGCCGGCGGCAGAGAGGCAGCCATTAAAGCAAGTGTTTGTGTGTTTTCTTATTGGGGGAGGTTGTGGGTCTGAGTATTTTCAACAAGGGAGAGAAATTGGTTGCTCAGTTTTAATGGGGCTGCTTCTGACTGGGTTAGATTGGGTAACGAGTTTGTTAGATATGTGCTGCTTCTTTGTTTGATTATTGCATTTCCTTCTATGTGTGACATACTTTCATTTGTCTTCCTCCAAGGGTTTATCAGTAGGGTCAAATTTTCTGGGAGTTATTTATTTGGTTCAGTTTGGACATAGCTTTCTTGCGTAGGTTGGAGTTTGGCTAGAGCTGCCTCTAGATCCCTTACTCTTTCCTCTAGTAGTTCACATAGCTTATATTTAATATGTGTATAATTTGGGTGTTCTTTGGGCATAAGCACATACATCGAACATATATTGCATACCTTAATAGTATCAGTCACCTGTTCCACGAGTTTGTTTCTTTTTGCTGGTTCTTTTAACAGTAAAAAGTTTTGTATCTTTTTTTTCTATTCTTTTTTCTGCTTTTTTCTGCTTGTTTTATATCTTGTTATTTATTATTTATTTTACTTGCTTATTATTATGTAGTTTTATTTATCTCTTTTCTTCCTTACATTTTTAAAAAGTTTTTGAGTTCCAGTTCCCCCCATCTGATTATTTAAGATTTGCATAATTTATTTGATTGATCTTTATTAATCTTATTCTTCCTTGATTTCTAATTTTCCATTCTTGTCTTTATTATTTGCCTATTTATTTATCTTTTATTTTCTGTCCTGTATTTATTTTTATTCTCTACCGGGGTCTTCCCTCCCTGCCTATTGAACCTCAGGCTTAATTTGTTGCCTTCACTTCCCTTGTTTGCTGCTCAGGCCTCTTGTTATTTTTCTGCCAGCTCCCTTCTGTTCTTCAATGCTCCAGACTCCCTTTGCTCTCCCTTCCCAGTCACCCTTCTTCGCTACACCTATGGACCATCTAGGCTTAGCTGAGTCCCCTAAGCTTGCGGCTTCCTCTACCAATCTGGTGGGGTTCATGCCTTATTGAGGCTTGGCAGAGGCTTCGCCCCAGCATTTGGCTTCTTGATCACTGCCTTGTGTTATATCATTTGCATGGTTCCCATGATGGGACAGGTGCCCCTCCGAATTGACCACTTTGAAGACTTCACCTAATATAAGGTCCTGCCTCAGCTACCTTCTTAGGAAAGCATGACTCTTGAAACAATTCACATTTCAAAAGGAACTTTTACTGAAAGTAAAGTGATTGCAGAAAAGTCAGGTGGAGTCTGAAATTCGTGCAAGAAACATTAGACTAACTTTTCATCTTCAACCCCCACCCCAATGCTGCATGTATACCGGCAGCCAATAAAATGCCACAAAGGTGTTTTGAGGACTCTGAGGCTGGATGGTGAGACGAGGTTTTCCTTGGGATGCCACAACCTTGGGTAGCAGGCTGGAACTGGCTGAGAGGGGGTTCTATGCAGATGGCTCATCCTCCCACCCTAAACTCCCAAGCAGTTACAGCAAAAGCGAAAGCATGAAAAACATTCAGCCCATGGAGACTCCCTCTCCCCTTCAGAATGGCAGCATTCTGATAAGGACCTGACATTAACTCAGATAATTGGGAATTCTCTAGAAGAGCTGGGAAAGTAATGCGGGTGTTTACTTTGGAAGGAGAAGTGGGGGGGGGGATCACACCTCTTTTTTTCTGGGAGCATATTAAGCAGAGGTCTGGTGTGAAACTGTTCTTTCCAACCAAATATGTCTTGGAGCCAACCCTTTGAAAGTGGAAGTTGGGATTTTTTTTTTCAAAGAAAGTAACTTAAATAGAATAAAAAGCATATCTTTGATTCTGGAAGAAAGGATATAAGTATCATTATAATATAATATTACACCTTCTTATATTGTAGAATTTATTTTTTTGTTCTAATTGCTGTGATGTGCATTTCTACATTTTCATTGATATTCATATTTTCATATTCCTCTCATTCTAGGAAATGTGACTACTAGTACATCTGTGTCTCATATGGCGAGTGGCATCAGTCTTCTTTCCTTTAACAGTCGACCTGATGGGATGCATCAACGATCCTATTCAGTTTCTAGCGCTGATCAGTGGAGTGAAGTGACAGTTATTGCAAATTCTGGTATCAGTAATGGTAAGATAGTGTTCTAATTTTCATTTTTTTTTCAATTAACAGATTTATAATAGTAATAGAAATATGATTCAAAACTGTTGCTACTTAAAAAAAAACAGCTAGGATGAGATACAAAAAAGGTTGCAAAATAACGCTGCTCAAAATAATATGCATAAAACTTATTACAATTGTGTTTTTTTCCTCATTCAAATGATCATAGTCTTAAGTCCAAATCTAGAAATCTGATACACTTGCTTAAGGACCTACTGCTCTGGAGAAATAGTTTTCAATCTAGTACCTCTAATGGTTAATGGTGGTTCACACTAGAGGTGGTATTCAGCAGGTTCTGACCAGTTCTGGAGAACCAGTAGTGGAAATTTTGAGTAGTTCAGAGAACCGGTAATAGAAATTTTGAGTGGTTCGAAATACCACCTCTGACTGGCCTCGCCCACATCTATTCTCTGCCTCCCGAGTCCCAGCTGATCGGCTGGGTCTTCTTTTGTTGCCTTGCACAGGAGAACAGATCTGGAAAGCAGGTTAGTGGGGTGGGGAGGGAATGGGATTTTGCAGTTTCCTTCCCCCAGGATTGGGGAGGGAATGGGGATTTTGCAGTAACCTTCCCCTGGCACACCCACCAAGCCATGCCACACCCACCAAGCCATGCCATGCCCACCAAGCCACGCCCACAGAACCGGTAGTAAAAAAAATTGAATCCCACCACTGGTTCACACTATATGCAACAGATGCTAGTTACACATACAACTGAAACAATCACTGCTGCAGAAGTTAAAAAAGCAGCTGCTATTCCTGTTAACAGGAATATGAGTCCTACTCATAAAAATTACTCTTATACTTTATGTGATCAATGATCAATTATATATCAATCATTTATTTGGAATCCTGTATCCAGTTCTGGACATGGTAGTTTGGAAAGGATGTAAACAAACCAGAACATATTCATGTTTAGCCTAAGAGAAGGAAAGACTGAGGGAAATAGAACTGCAGTCTTCAGATAGTTAAAGGATTATTATTTACAGAGGAGGGAGTGAATCTTGTTCTTTGTTACCCGAGAGGCAGGATCAGAATCAGTGATTGTTAAAGTAGTGGCAAAGTAAGACATTATAAAGAATTTTCTAAAGGAAGCTTTCAAACAATGAAATGGATTACCCATAAGATGATATGTGATAGCAATGCTGTTTCTGTTAATTTTTCATAATGTAACAGAGCAGGAAGCCCATCCAGAATTTTTACTTTCTTCCATTTCTTTCTTTTTCTTCATCTGTTTTTTCCCCCAAGCATCACTCTTAAAGTTGCCAAAAAATGGTCTGATCCACATTCATATTGTTACCAATCTGTATTTATCACTAAATCACTCAGATTTTCATCATAAACAATGAAAAAATTGATGCTTTTAGGTATATATTTATTACTTTCCCATGTGCGCAAATGAATAATTTATGCTTAAAGCATTTCTTAAAGCAACCAAACTTTTTTCTGATTAGGGGAACAACCACCATTCTCCTTTCTTGTGTTTCCAAGTTGCCTACTCACTTCTGTACTCTTGTTCCTACTATCCATTCTTGACAGCTACAGAATAGGTTTTTTTCACCCCTGGATTAGTTTATTCATAATATTGCATAATTGATGGTGATTTCTGTTTTCCAACGCTTGGCAAAAAGTCAAGAATTTTCGAGAATTGTCATTTTTAACTATTGGGTTCCTTTGTAAACTACTTGTCTGTTTGGAACTGTTGGTTCTGCCTTAAGCTTGTGCTGAGTTCACCATCTTGATATTTTTCTGTTATTTTTAAATTAACTTCACTTTATTTTGCTTTCTTAGGACTTTAGATTAAGATAAAATTAAATTGGGTTGTTCTTACGAATGAAGGTAAAATATACATGTCCCAGGATAATGGTGCAAGATCGAATCTGGATTGGTCACCGGGACTGTAGATTTACTCTTCCATAGATTTTTGTTCCCAGTAGAAAGAAGTTCCCTGAAGTTGGGCTCCAGAATGAGTCTGAAAGTAAATCTCGGGTCCTGGTAACCGACACAGATTCGATCTTATCTTGTTCTTTTCCTCTGTGTATGGCAATCTCTTAGGAAAAAAATGGTTGCCACTGGTAATTATGGCTAAGTGACTCCATTTCTCAAATTCATCAGATTATTTCATCTTAGTACTCATAAAGTACTGAAAAGTTATTTAATGAAAAAAATAAATTTATGGGAGGTAAGGGTAGCAAAGATGATTAAAAAGAGAAGAATAGGTTTTCTTGTAAAAGTGCTTTTTCTTTTTCTGGAACAAATAAAACACAAAAATGGGTTATTTTAGTCATTGTAAAAACTGCAATGAGATTAACTTAAACGACAGAAAACAAGAAAATGATAATGGAAATGATAAATTATTGGATTTTTAAACATTCAGATTTCCTTACTTAATGACCACTAATTCAGTAATAATTTATATGGTTATGACAATGTTGAATGACTGGTATTTACAACCAGTCTTCACACATTGGTCACAGCATTCCTGTGGTTACATGATTGTCATTTGCACTTTTGAGCAAAGTTAACAGGAAAGCTGGCAGGAGATAAAAAATGCTGATAATATGATGTCCTCACTTGATAATTTTTGCCCTCAAAAACTATAGTGGCATTTTTAAAGAATTAAAAAAAATACTGACACTGAAAATAGGAGGAGGAAGGAGTATGTTCACATCCTTAAGTTGTTTATAAAAATAATAAAGGCAGGAACAAGCAAACAAATAAATACAGTAAACTGTATATATTTTATATTTATATAAACTGTATAACTTTATAGTTAAAGTATAAATGATATGTTTCTAAATTAGAAAAAATGTAATTAATGAAAAACATTCTGGAGTAAAATAATTTGTTTGCATAGCATACCAGGGTTGGACAAGGTTGGGCACATCATATGCAGCCAAACAAATCAATTTTTCTTGTGCAACTATCAAAGCCCAACATCAGCCAAAGTTTAGTAACAAAACATAGTATTTTGGTAACACAAATATAGTTGGATACAAATACACAGTTAATGCATTAAATCTATAGTAAATTGGTTTTATTAAAACCATAAAAACAACAATCCAAAAAGGCTTGTGAAAGGATTGACATTCTGTTCTGGAAACAACAGCAAACCTCACTAGAACCCCTTTAGAGCCCCTTTATTCTCAGCAGCCAAAAATTCCCTCCCTCCAGGAGTTGGTGAGCCACACAAAAGAATATTCATTCATTCATTCATTCATTCATTCAATCATTCAATCAATTTATATGGACATCCAGTTCAGTTGTACGGATTTGAGTGGCTAACAACAGTTACAAAACACATAAAACTAACAATAAAAAATAATATACACATAAGGAGCAGCTGAAGAAAAAAAATACAAGTCAGGCTCTATTTATTTTATTTTTATTTATTAATTAAATTTATTTGCCATCTCTCTTGTAACAAAATGACTCTGGCTAGCTTACAGCATTAAAACATTAAAATCTTAACAAATATCTCTAAAATAATAAAAATGGAAATACTAATCATGATAAAATTATAGTTAAAACATGGAGAAAGAACAGGATGTACGGGGGAGGAGATGGGATTGCCTCTTAATTCAACAACCACCTCCAATGTGATGTTTCCCCATTAAGGCCCCAGGCCATCTGGCAGAGTCAGGTCAGAAGGTCAGAAGGATGGGAGCCAATCTCAGCTCAGGGAAGCGGAGACGGGAGATGTTCCAGACGGCAAGAGCCATGGCAGAGAAGGCCTTTCTCCTGGACCCCTGACTGGGCCCTCAGAATGCCTCCTCTGCTAGCGGGTGGGGCAGGCCAGTCCTAATGGTATTCTTCAAGTAACCTGGACCCGTGCCATGCAGGGTTTTAAGATAATAACTTAATAACTTGAATTGCACCCAGAAACAGAACAGCAGCCAGTGCAGTTCTCAGACCATGGGGTCATCCAAGGGATCCCAAGAACTGCCTATGCTGCCACACCTTGTACCAATTGAAGTTTCAAGGGTGGCCCCATGTCAGAGTCAGTGGTGGGATTCAGCCAGTTTTCACCGTTCGGCCAAACATGTTGCTAACTTTTTGTGTGGTTCGATGAATCAGTTGATCCCACCACTGGCTAGCCCTGCCCTGCCCACCGGGGTTGCCATTCAGGGTGGGGAGGCTGCAGAGGCATGACTGGGAACCTGATCAGCTGGGAGGCTGCTCTCCCCCCCCCCCCCAGCCCCTTTTTGGCATGGACAGCCTCCTGCAAAATCCTGCAGCAACCACCATTCCCTCACTAACCTGCTTTCCAGCTCCGTTCTCTGGCATACAAGGCAACAAAAGGACACCATGTGACTACCAGTCACACCTTTCAACTTTGAGAGATATCCCCCCCCCCCCCCCCCC